AAAAGTCGTTAGATGGGGCAAACTCACTTAACAAATGTTTGACTTAGCAACATAATTTTTGGGTTCAATTGTGGTTGTAACTTGAGAACTACCTGTATAAGTCTAAATGCTATTGCTATGTTGGCATCTCAACACCCAGCATTGCAACCAGTGCTGGCTAATAATTCTGAAGAGAAGATCCCAAACAGATTGATTCTCTGGGAAAAGCTTTTTTAGACCCTTTTTTCCTTCATTTTCATTAGTATTTCTATTCAGATCGTATTGTCCATGTTTTGGAAATACTATCCAAACCAGCAAAACCTAGGCATTAAAAATAGCAGAAGAACAAGCTATATAGCAGGAACCAATTCTTTCTTTAACACACTTGTAGCTGTAGCAGTCCCACAGTAGTAAATGTGGCAGGCCTGAAGATCCAATGCAGGGGTAGGCAATCTTAAACGCTCAAAAGAGCCACAAAGGTCCTAACCGGAAGCCACCGTTCAATTATGGAGCCAACCAGAAGTCCGGTTCCCCCATCATGGTCTCCACCTAGCACGCCGTCCTTTTCCCTCTGCTGACCTGAAGTCAGGTTCTCCTACCATAGAGTCTCCTCCTAGTGCGGCATCATTTTTCCTCTATCTGTCCTAACCGAAAGCCTTATCAATTGTGGAGTTGACCAGCAACAGGGAGCCACAGTAGAGTGATGAAAGAGCCACATGCGGCTCCAGAGCCACGGGTTGCTGACCCCTGATCCAATGCAAAAGATGGCTTCCAGGCCTTACAGGAGCATTCTGTATTGCAGATCAAAAGTTCTACCTTCGGGCAGACCTAAATGGAATGGATGAAGCCAGACTGCTTGTTTGGACCACTGAATAGTGCCACAGGGAAGGTGGTCCCCCTGCCTTTCTGGAAAGCAATGGATCTTGCCATTTAAAGGGCTGGAGAGATCTCAAGAAAAGAAAAGAAATAGACTGCGGCCTAGAATACAGTTATTGCTTCTGCAGCTGGAATAGAGAAGAAGACTGTGATCAAGAATTGATACATATCTTAATTAATAGTGGATGGTCTGCCACGGGCCATTCTGATGACTTAAGGCCAGATTCAGACTTTAAAACATTTCTCTGGAAATTGTGCCTGTATTCTTTGAAGCAAAACAACGGCACTGACTGTAGGGCTGAGAATATACAGCTGGATATGCAGCTCGCAACTCCATGTCAGTCCCCAGGCAGGTCCATTTTTGCAACCTCTGGCACCCCTCTAATATTACATTGTTAAATCTTAGCAACTAAACACCAATTTCAGCATCTTTTGTCATACAGTGAGGAGAAGAAGAATGAGAATAGATGCATTGAACTGTAACCGTCTATTTGAGGTGGATACCCCAAATTTCATTCCCCCCCCCCCCGACAAAAAAAAGGTGAAAAGTTCAGCCTTGCCACTTCATCTAACTCACTGCATCATCAGCTGTGCTTCCTGCAGCCCCCAGGAGCCATTTTCCTTTTAGAAGAAAGGGATAAACCATTCCCGGGATGGGGGGGGGAGTTTGCTTACACCCGGGCGCTGCAACCTTGTCTCATCCAGAATACTCGTCCCTCCCATCAACCCTACAAAAAACCAAGCTCTTGACAGCTATGAAAAGAGGGAGGAGATGTTAAGGAAAAAGTAGCTTTAGAGCACTCTTTCCAATTATTTGAGAACATGCCTAGCAAAAATCCATACTCAACATATGCTTACAATCCTTATGTGCAAAGTGGATATAGATTGTCTGTTTCTCTCATAATATTTAGAAAGCGAGCTTAACCTATGAATAGATTGGTAGCAAATTCAGGACCAAGTAGAAATACTTTATTTTACACGGTAACAGCATGTGAAACACAAAGAACTCTGTACCTATGTCGGCTGATCCCATCTATTCTTCTTAACTATCTCAACTGCCGTCTCCACGTCGGCAGCTAAGATTTTACCATGCATTGCCAATTTTCCTTCTAGCCAGCCTTTGCAAAAGCATAAACTTTTGACACTTGAAATAATCAGAAAAATGAATTGTCTTTCTATACAATTCTGTAGCTCAAAACACTCTCGGAGCATATAACACCTTCATAAAGGCTACCACGAGAGATTTCTTGTGCGCAAAATTTCAGATTTGTTACTATTTAACCCTTCCTTATATTTGGTTCCTTGTTTATAATACAGGTAGTCCTCGACTTATAACCACAACGGAGCCCAACATTTCTGTTGTTCAATAAGGCATTTGTTAAGTGAGTTTTGTCCAGGAGTGAAATGCTACCGCTTCGGCCCAGTTCGGCCAAATTGGTAGCGATGGCGGCAGGTGGTTTGGAGAACCGGTAGCGATAGCAGTACAAGGCTCTGCCCACCCGCCCGGTCATTGTTACTTCCTGGTTTTAACCAGAAAGTAACCTGGTTTTTACCCTCTGCGCATGTGCAGAAGGGTTTGCGCATGCACAGAGGGTCCACGTGTGGTGCGTGCACTTCTGAACCGGTAGGGAAGATAAGTAGATTTCACCCCTGGTTTTGTCCCATTATATGATCTTTCTTGCCACCGCTGTTAAGTGAATCACTGCAGTTGATTAGTTAGTAATCCAGTGATTAAGTGAATTTGGCTTCCCCATTGACTTTGCTCATTAGAAGGTTGCAAAAGGTGATCACATGCTCTTGGGACACTTGGTCCTAAATATGAATCAGTTGCCAAGTGTCTGAATTTTGATCAGAAGGACTTTTTTTTTTAACACTTCTGAAAATCATACTTAAATAGGGTAGAGAGTAAAGAAGATTACCTTGATAAATATATACAAAAGCCATTATCTACTGTAGTATTGGCAAACCTTTTCGGCACCAAGTACCGAAACGGGACCGTGCGTGCGTGCAGGGGGCAGCACTGAAAACCGGAAGAGCAGCTCCCTGGCGTGCATGTGCACATTGGGAAGCTGAGCTTCTGGTTTCCAGTGTGTGCATGCGCACCTGTCACCTGGTTTTTTTGGTTTCTGGCACGCATGTGCGCGCAAAGACCAACTGGCTGGCATGCATGCGTGCGCCAGAAACCGGAAGCTCAGCTTCCCAACATGCACATGTGTACCAAGAAGCTGCTCTTCTGGTTTCCGGCACTCCCACACGCATGAAGACCAGCTGGCCAACACATATGTGCGCACTGGAACCAAGAAGAGCAACAGGCAATGGCTGGCATGCCCGGAATGATGGCTCTGCATGTCACTTCCGGCATGCATGCCATAGGTTTGCCATCACGGGTCTAGGGGCTGAAGCATTTTTTAAAGGCTAGAACAAGATAACATTTGGAAGTGGGTTAGGCAAAGGGCTCCCCAATTCATTAGCTATAAGAAGAGGAAGTTGTACAGCAGATTCAGACCTGGCAGATCCTATTATTACAGACAGATTTAATGAAAGCAGTTTTGGTCTTCCTGTGGAGTTGATTTCCTGCTCTGGTCTACCTTTTGGGGGTTGACAGATTTATTTATTTATTTATTTTATTGGTTTGATTTATATGCTGCCCTTTTCCAGAGACTCAGGGCGGCTTACAATGCGTTAAGCAATAGCCTTCATACTTTTGTATATACCTGCTTAGTAGGGCTTTCGCCCCTCCCCTAAGCGGTGTTCTTTTTTTTTAATACAAAGTCAGCTTATTGCCCCCACAAACCGGGTCCTCATTTTACCTACCTCGAAAGGATGGAAGGCTGAGTCAACCTTGTGGTCCGCCAGCAGTCTGCGGACCTGGCAACGGAGTCAGACAGTGAGGAGACTGGGGAGGACAATGGGCCAGTGCTGAAGTCAGGGGAAGGCCCAGACGACGGCTCTGCGTCAGAGGCAAAGATGGGGCCAGGGCCATCTGGGTGCAATGCGCGGACTATGGAGCTTCCAGAGGCAGACAGCCGAGAGGCAGAGGAACAGGAGGAGCCTGTTCCTAGTGCACACATGCGAAGAGCTGCCACAAGGCAAGAGCAGCCGAAGAAAAAAGTACAACTCGGGAGTAAGGCCAGAAAATGGTTGGTCACTCCCATAAGGCTTAAAAGAGCAGCAATGAGCCATTGGGTTCTTTGTAGAAAAGCAACGTTGATTCCCATGCTTCTTGTCAGCATCTCTTGAACTTTGTGGGGTGTTTGCCAAGAAAAGCCTTTGGCAGGTTGCCAAAGACATCAAAGGTTGGTGATAAGGCCGACAGACTGGTTATTAAGAATTTTGTTTTGGATTAAGCTTAGAATGAATTCATTCTCATCTGTTTTAATAAAATAAGTTTCTTGAGGACTGAATTGTGTTTGGTAATCGCTACTTGGGCCTTGGTCACAACACAGATATAGAAGTAATTCGATTATGGGTGAGATTTTATGGCAAGCGATATCCCTATATAGAAATTCCTGTTTTAGTCATATACGGTACATCCATTGAATCAGCACTCTGCGTGCCATTGATTTGGGAACAACAATTTGGGTGAAAGCCGGTTAAGAAAGAAATGCTACTCAGAGGACGATAAGTGACAGGATTGGAAAGGTTAAAGAGGTAGAAGGGATTGAACAAGCAGAGTCAAGGGCAGGTTAGTGGATAGGGAAAACCAGTCTGAGATTACATCCTCCTCACTGATAAAGTAAATGACATCGTCCATGATGAAATAAAGTATCCCAGTAATAATTTTCAGCAGACAGAAGAAGAGAAAGTGTTTTGACCATCCATAGACTTTCCTCTTTAGTCCCCCTGGCTGAAAAGTCCTGCTCCCTTCTCTCCTTCAAGATACCAGCAGCACAGAGCAATTTCTCTTCCCAAGACACAGCTCCTCACCAAGACATGGCTATTTCCCCTCCCCCATTTTAATCCAGTCACTCAAACTGACAGCTACACTATGTACAAGAACTGGGCTACACGATTGCTGTGCCATATTTTCGCTGTAAATCTCCTGATGTGTCAAGAGCTCCCTTTCACTCCCCAATCCCCCTGATAAATATTCATTTTATATAAATATTTTTCATCTCTCTTTCTCTCTCCCTCTCTCTCTTTAGCTCTCCTTAATTCTCATCACCGGATTTGGAGTTGCAGGTGGTCTTTATATCCTTGCAAGGAAGACCTTCTTTGTTCCTGAAGTGAGGTATGTTTCTGGACAGCAATTACATTTAGATTGGGACAGAGTCTCTGCAATATTTATAAGGGATCCATTATTTGATCTAAGCTAGCATTGTAGAATCCTCATGATCTGCTTTGTCAGTTGAAGCAAATCAAATCCTTCCAGTATTAGTACAAGAATATCAGCAGAATTGGCACTTAGACTTATATATCACTTCACAGTGCTTTACAGCCCTCTCCAAGCAGTTTACAGAGTCAGCCTAATGCCCCCAACAACCTGGGTCCTCATTTTACCCACCTCGGAAGGATGGAAGGCTGAGTCAACCTTGAGCCTAGTGAGATTTGAACTGCTGAACTGCAACTAGCAGTCAGCTGAAGTAGCTTGCAGTACTACACTCTAATCACTGCGCCACCTCGGCTCAAAGCTGGTCAATTTGAATGTTAAGGACCATGTAAATCAGAGGTCTTCAAACTTGGCAGCTTTAAGACTTGTGGACTTCAACTCCCAGAATTCTCCAGCCAGAGAATTCTGGGAGTTGAAGTCCACAAGTCTTAAAGCTGCCAAGTTTGGGGACCCCTGATGTGAATGCTTGTGGCAGCATTGAAGTTTCCGGCCTTGCTTGCTTCCGCATCTTTACTCGGAGTTGGGGTTTTCTGGAACGCTGACAGCTTGGGTGGGAGGGGGGTTGGACTAGATGACCTACAAGGTTCCTTCCAACTCTGCTAACCTGTTAAATCTGTTAAATGACCTGGGAAGAGCAATATTATTTAAGAGCAATAGACCAGTTGTCAGGCCAACCTGCCAGGTCAGATTTGACCGATGGGCCAAATGCTCCCTGGCCTTGGCCCAGATTACCCTAGGATTTATGCTAGCCTGGAGAGGAGAAAGAAAAGTGAAGGAGGAAAAACTGTTGTTTAACTTGAACATCTAATTATCAGTGTAGAATTTTAGTGCATATGCAAGGGTGGGCTTCAAAAATTTTAGCAAGGGGTTCTCTGCCTGGTTGCTGGGTGGGCGTGGCCATGGCAGGCGTGGCCTAGTCAGCCTCCTGCACCACGGCTGGGGTGGGGCATTTTTTGCCCTCCCCGGGCTCTGGAGGCTTTCCTCGAGCCTCTGGGAGGGCAAAAATGGCCTCCCCAGGCTCTGGAAGCCCTCTAAAGGCCAGAAACAAGCCCGTTTCCGGCCTTCCCGACCTTCTAGTAGGCCCGTTTTTCACCCTCCCCGAGCCTCTGTGCGCGCTCTGCAGTTACCTGCATCCAAAATGGGCCGCATGGGGACTCCTGGGAGGGGAGGAGTGGGAGGGGCGAGCCAGGAGTGGGATTTGGGGATTCTCCAAATTGCACAGACTCTTAGCTAGAAGTTCTCCCAAACCCCTGCAAACCCCCAACAGCCCACCCCTGTGCATATGGGTATTTTCAGATTTAGGGTTAGAACACTATTTCAAAATGTTAATGACAACTCTTCTGCTCATACTAGTGAATGGATCATAAGCTCCTTGTCTCACAAAGCCATAGATTTAGTACAGTTTTGGATAGAACATGTTTTTGAGATTTGAATTTCATTCTTTGTAGCACTGCATACTGTATGTATTACCCAAGGAAGGAAATCTGAATTTAAGATGACACTGGCCCCAACCCACCCACCCCGACCTTCAGTGTCCATATGAACAAAAAAAAACATGCAGTATGTAACTTCTTTACAATATCAATCTAGAAATGCCAGTTAAAGTTGAAACTATTCATGATGATATTTCCCTTCCCAATAATAGTACCCATGTGCCACAGTTGTTCACCAAATAATACTAAGATGGTTAAGCACTAAGGTAAACGAAGAAAACAGCTAACATTTTTCAGGAAAAAAATATGAATTTTGATGAAATATCTTACTGTCATTCCTGGTAATCATAAAATGATTGGTACTTTCATAAATATAAACAAAGGAAGAAAGAAGCCAATATTGTTTTAAAAATTGCTGCTGAATCAGGGAAAAACTCTAAAAATGCGACATAAAAATTGTTGACAATATCTATTGCATCGATGGAAGCATTAAACATAAAGTAGAATAATGGTATTGGAATAAATCTGTAAGTTTTAAAGTTTACAATTAATTCAATTGTTTTGTCAAGGAAGGTTTTAACGGTCCTTAAACTCTGCCAGGGTTACTTTGATATGTACATTTCTCCGTACTGCCTCCTTGGCAAAAGAAGATTTGCTCCTTAATTTTGAAAGCCACTCCATACTTGCTCAAGGATATTTTTGTCTCATTTTTAATTGGAATAAAATCTCAATGTTTTTACATTTCCACTATGATCAATCTTGGCCCAATGGAGATGATGCTAAAATTACAGTGTTTTCATTTTTGGCTATCTGTTCCCATAAGAGCCTGTGTAGAATGTCTGAGCAATATTTTTCCAGGAAGGGGGGAAAACCCTTAGTGACATCTACAAACTCAGGTATGTCAACACCTCCTCCAAAATGCAGAAGTTCCATGAAAACATGGAAGAAGAAAGAAAAGGAAAAAAAAGATGGATAACTACTGAACTCTTGGTCACTGATACCTGCCTGATAAGCATCATGCTATGGGCCTCTGGCAAGTGTACTGTGAGTCACCTTTGAAGATGTCTAATGCTTTTATAATAATATCTGTTTACTTGCTAAAGTGATCATTGATTCAATTTGGCACCAGCTGCCCAAGGCTCTTAGCACAAACATTATCAGTTGTAGATTTCCTTTGTCTTTGATTGAATTGCAGATAAAAGTGGAATAGACATATCTTCATCAACCTCTCAAGAGATACAGGCAAAATTAGCTCCGGGCTTTGGGGGAAGAGGTTGTTCTCCTAGAACTCTTCCATCCAAGTGAGAATCCTTGAGAATATTGAAGTTCTTTCCCTTCTCCCTGGAGTATTCACAGTCAGCCCCAGAACATCAGAAAGTAAGGGAAGGGTTATTTCCCCTGAGTTTGTTACTTCAGTCTCCTGGGTTGGGGGTACATAACTTTTATTTGGTCAAGGAAGCATTTAAAAAGGCATAGAGCTACAAATTAAATGGATGAAAAATTGCTATTATTGTTTAAAATTAATTATAAAACCATTCAGTTTTTAGGAAGGACCTGCACAAAGTTAGGACGTGCATCTGTTGAATTCCACATTTGAGATTGATGAAATGTGGGACCAAAAAAAACACCACCTCCCGAACAAACATTCTCTTAGTTTCCCATAAACACAAACGCACACAAATCTCATCTACAAAAGAAGTGATGGGACAAGGGGAAGCAGAGAGATGATGTAGAGAGCAACAGACTGGGGAACGTGACTTCCTAATGGGCCAGATGTGGCCTTGGACTGCAGACTATACGCCTGTTTTTGAAATCTGTCTCAAAGTGACCAACTAAGTCCAGCAGTACCAGCAAACTCAGGGGACACGCAGCCCCCAGATGAGATCCATCTATGAGTCTCAGCAAATTCATGATTTGGCAACAGCTATTGCTGGTCAGAGTAGTGGAGTAAAATCCGGAGCTAGAGTGGAATAAGTCCATTCCAAATTTCTTTTTCTGCCTAGGCAACAACAAATCTCTTCTTTTATCAGAATCTGATTCCCAAATGGAAAGTTTGCTTCCTGTCAGGGGCCAAAGTGTTAGAGGAGCAGGAAAGAGTGCATGTGTGTGTGAGAAGGAGTTTCTCGTGGGAACTTTCCCAGCCTTGACTCCAGGGTTGTTTTTCTGGCTCAACTTCGCCCTATCCTGTTCCTTGCCTGATCACAGATTGTTTCCCCACAGACACCTCAAAAGGGAAGAAAAGAATTAAAGAAAACAAAACCAAACAAAAAGCAAGAGTTTAGAAATACTTGATGTTCCAACAGCAAAAGCAAGAGATTTGGTAGATATTTTCTCCAGCCGTCCTGTTCCACTCAGCTTCAAAATGAGAAAACCCCAGGTGTTGGCTACCAAACCCTTCCCATTACAGTCCAATTGCCTTCTGCATTTCAATCTGCACCACCATGGCTCTCTTTCCCATTAACATACCTAAAATACGGTGTTACGGTATTTTATTAGCAATACTAATAAAATACTAACTAATGCCATAATAAAATACAATTTTATTATAGCTTTACATCAGGATGACACCAACTAGAATTGCTTCCCCCTATAGAGCTTGTGGACTTAATTCCACTCCCCACTGGTTTTACTAAAGGATGGAATCTAAGAAGAAAAAATTGCCATAGGCTGCCAAATAAATAAACACGGAGGGAGCTGATTTTCAACACTAATACAACTGCACACCTAAGATTAACCAGAACATTTTAAAGTTGTGCTAAACACCCTAACTTTTCATTTGTTTTATTTAAAGAGAATCTGAACTGGCTGATGACCTTCCCCCTTCCTTTACAGGTGCAATCACACCCTTGTGCCATGCAGACTTGCTATAAGCACAAAACCACACAAGTCTTTTCAAAATTCTTTCCCTTGCAATTACAATGTTGTTTGTGGGTGAAATGACACTTGATCACCTTATAAACCCAGCAGATATAAGAGTGCTGTATTCAATAACAAAGTTGGAAGGAACATCAGAAGTCTTCTAGTCCAACCCACTACTCAACCAGGAGACCCTATAAGATTCCAGACAAATGGCTGTCCAATCTCTTCTTTAAAACCTCCAGTGTTGGAGCACCCACAATTTCTAGAGGCAAGCTATTCCACTGGTTTATTGTTCTCAGTAACAGGAAATTTCTCTTAGTTCTAGGTTTGGTTTCTCTTTGATAGGTTTCCAGCCATTATTCTTGTCCTGCCCTCAGGTGCTTTGGAGAATAGGTAGTCCTTCTCCTCTCTGTGGAAGCCCTTCAAATATTGGAAGATTGCTATCAAGTTACCCTTAGTCCTTCTCTTCACTAGCCTAGACGTACCCAATTTTTGCAGCTGTTTGTTGTATGTTTTATCTTCCAATCCCTAATCATTTTTGTTGCTCTTCTCTGTACTCTTTCTAGAATTTCAACGTCTTTTATGTATCATGGTATTCAATCATGTAGT